ATGGAGCATTTTGCTGCCGGCTTTTGGGATGATAAGTGTTGCTAGCTGCCAGTGACAAGTGCCGTTGGCGCCTATTCCGCCAAGTAATTTTTTGTTGCCGCCTGTGGCTGCTGCTGTGGCTGTGAATGACCTACCTTTCTTTGCTTTTTTTTGTTTTTGGTATGGAACTCAGTTGTTTCAGTGGTGCTCCTCAGTAGTTTTTTTTTTTGGTTTTACGCGTTGATCTGCACAAACTGAGCTTCATTTATGTGTGTCACAGTGTATTTTTGATTAATCAAAAGACATTTTTCTGGCGTTAAAGTAGGCTGAATTAATGCAAAAATGATGAGAGTGAATTTATCAAGCTTATTTACTTCCGCAACCGGAGTAAGTGGCCTGCAAAGGTGTCACATCACACAGTTGCTGCTGCGCGGTGTGGCGTTGCTGAGAGTGTGGGTGGGTGGCGTAATTTGAATTTATGCATAATTTTTTGAGTGGCAAGACAAATATGAATCAGTAGGCAGGCAGTATTTTGTAGTCGCGTGCTCAGCTCAGAAATTAGCGCAATGTAGCGTGTTGTTCAAATTTATGCGCAACTAAACAATGAAAATAAGTTTTTCTTCTTAATGACAAAATGTCATCAACAAATACAAATTACCGATGTAGATCAAAGAGAAAAGGTTGGCTATAAATTTTGATTTTTAAGTTTACATATTTATGTCTTAGTTGATTTATTTTACCTGCAATGATAGAGCGTAAACATTTTGGATGTTTTGTTGTAAATAAATACTCATCAAATTAAAATTAAAATGCTCGGAATCGGGATGAAAAATTTGTGGAATTTTTATAATTTTTGTACAAAGTCTGAAATTTAGATTTGTATGGGATTTGTTGGTTAAAGAGCTATACTTTTATACAAAAATAATGAACCTTAAGAAAATCAAAAGAAAAAGTAGTCAAAACTGGTAAAAATAGTGATGTGCTAAAGATATTTTAAGTCGTTTAAAGTTAACGACATACAACAATAGGCCACTATCCGGCTGGCAAATCTGCAAGACAACGTCGGTATGAAATGATCTCTGGCCGATATCGGTCAGAAAGGCATATGGGGAGGTTCTAACCGACACGTCGTGGGAAACTCTGACTTAATTACCAATGATTCTGATGAATATGTAACAGATGTCTGAACAAAAAATCGTGCAAAATTCTGTCTTATTTGCCGACGAGTCTGAATACCTGCCTTCACTTCAAAATTATTTATTTTGTATTCAATGAAACTCAATATGATATAAATTGTGTAACTATATTTTAGTCGATGCGCCTTCTCTTTTCAGGCTTGTTCGTCCTGTCTTCGGGCATGTTGAAAATTATTTAAATTAGTTATTTCACATGGAAGTTTGGTATATTTTCCAATGCAAAACCCATTGAAAACAATTAAATTATAACCACCACGAATGCGAAAATATTATTCATTTTACATTTTGGAAGTTTTATAAAAGTGAGCGAACTCCTTTCTGAAGTAAAACTAAACAGAATAAATATAACACAAACATTTCACCGTTCGGCCTGTGGAAGAAAATAAAAATCGTCATTAAAGAATGTACACGAAAAAAACTGGTCACAGTTAAAACGTTCTAAAACATAAATATATTAATGGAATTCAACGATATTTACATATATTTACATCTAAACTTAGTTTTATTGAAATTCGTTAAAAAAGAGTTAATTCTCCTTGTAATAAGCAAACGATCGCAATTTTGACTTTATGTCCTTCATTAGCCCTTGCACAGAAGTTTCAGTGATTTCCTTGGAAACCAGCTGCCATTTATTTTTGAATTGTTGTGCGTTTTTTTACAGCTTTGTGGGTCTTAAGAAGTTTGGATTTCATAACGGCCCAGTAGGTTTCGATCGGCCGATGCTCTGGACAATTAGGTGGATTCACCTCTTTTGCTACAAAATACACTTTGTTTCTATGTTACCATCCTAAAGCCATTTTTCCGTAATGACATATCGCGAGATCAGGCCAAAAAGGCACTGGATCTTTATGAAGCCGTATAAGAGGTAAAAGTCGCTTTTGCAGACACTCCTTAACATAAATTTCTTGGTTAATTGTACCAGTGCTTACAAAAGGATCACTTTTGAAGCCGCATTGGCAAATTGCCTGCCAAATGAGAAACTTTTTGTTTTTATATTTATCTGCAACATTGCCTCTTTTATTTGCTGTGTGAAATTCGCGGCCCGGATTTGTTTAAAATCGGCTTTTACGTACGATTCGTCATCCATAACAATATAGCCAAATTTTTGTATGAGACTGTCGTACAATTTCCGAGCACGTTGTTTCGCCAACAAATTTTGCTTACCGTTGCGATTAGGTGCTGCATTCACTTTGTAAGAACGTAGTCCTGCTGTTTTGCATACTTTTTGTATATACGAAGACGACATGTTTAATTTTTTGCCGACATCTCTTACCGAAAGTCCAGGATTTTTCTTAAAAGCAGATAACACTTCCTTTGCCTTAATTTCGCAAGCAAATCCTTTTTTTCTGCCACTACCAGGGTTCCTTTTTAAAGATAAACATTCATTGTATTTTTTAAGCACATAAGTAACGGTAGACTTTGGAAATTTTAGCTTTTTTGCGATGTCGTTATGGAACATGCTGGGATTTTCCAGCTTTTTGCGCAATATTAACTCGCGATCGATTTATTTCTTGGTCCTCGTTTCTACACTGATTTTTGTTACTAAAAAGAAATGATGCAGTAAGGTGGAAAACGCTTCCAGCTTTTTAAGTGTCTACCGATTTTTATTTTAATGTTATGATTAACTGAGCTATGCTTGGTTATGTGCGACCAGTTTTTTTCGTGTACATTCTTTATCAGACGTGCCAGCACGAAATCAGACAGGATTCTATCTGACATATCGGATAACGAAATAAAAATAAAATTCCCCAGACACCTCGCCCAGAATTATTACTCAGACATTTGTCTGATAACAGAAAATATCTGGACTATGCGCTAGCTGCCTTGTGAATACCCCAACAGTCTTACGTCCTCAGTCCTCTGACTAGACTTGCGAGTTTAAAATTCTTCCAGCAAACATAAAACCTGTATATTTTTTTTTTATAATTTGAATAAATTCACTTTATTAAATTAATATTAATCGCATTAAAAATATATAATTATACTATATCGATAAATGACTTAACTAATCGTTTGAGGCATAAATACATAATTAACATTTAAAACAAATTTAACCCTCTCATATTTAGTCATATGGAAATTAAACAATAAGCACTTAGTCATAACTATTTACAAAATATCTCGTTTATGCGCGCAGAGAGAAAGTTCCTGAGCGAAATACGAATTAAAAAAAAAAAGTCACTTGAAAAGAATGAAGCAGGAGCTTACTCTCTGCATGCTGGAGCTTTAGTTAGAGCCGATCTGTTTTAGTAGTCTACTACATTTAAGGAATGCGCATACAGTGTTAAACTTTTAAATTTAAGTTTTTTGTTTTTATGGCCTATTGTCTTACCGATGCTAAGTATGTAGTTTGCCCATTTTACAGACTAAAACATTTCATTTATCTTTGGCTTATGTCCTATGTAATGAGTTTTGTGTTTTTGTTCTTTATCGAAGCTATGGATTTATCTTTTAAATTTCTGCTTCAAGTTTCTTTTGAATACTTCCAGTTTTCAGTCAACATTTGTAGTGATTTACTTTTTATCTGAATAGGTATGTGTGTGTGTGTGTGTGTGTGTGTGCGTGTGAAAGAGTGATATATGTATGTGGAGCTATTTTCATGCGTTCATTATGGTGCCACTAAGCCTTAATGTATTTAAATTCTGTGCGAGTATTTTGTTTCCATCAATGTTTGTTTTCATCAATGTATGTATGTAGGTTTTCTTCTGCATTTTTATTTATTTTATTTATTTTTACTCATGCAATGTCATTTAAATGCTGTGCGAATATGTATGTATGTACGTTCGTATGCCATTGTTTTTGCACTGATTTTTCTAGATTTTTTAAAAGCCATAAATTTACTAAGTTACATCTATGCTCTAGGTTGGCACGGTTCCACTGTCGCCTTTGTAAGTAGCTAACTCCAATGACAGTCGGATCGTCGCAGCTGCAGTGGCCAACTCAAAAACAATAGGAAACATAGCCAGAAAATGTAGTAGTGCAAAAAGCCTGCGGAGAAAAAAAAACAATATATTATTTCTTTAGATTTTAAAATACATATTTTTATCTGAAACTATAACTAGCAGCATATTCTTAATAAAAAAAAATCAACAAGAATAATATGATTTCAAATTGCTTACCTTCACTCTCACAACTACTACTTCCAGATTTCGTCTCACCATCATTGCTTTGCCCTAATAGTCGTTGTTTGTGTCCTGCATCACGTAGCGCCAAAATTGTTGCGCGCACCTTACTTTCACGTCGCACATTCGACATGCCCATAATATCCGCCACGCATCTCAATTCAAGAATTTCACTTTTTGATATGAAACGTGGGTCATCGATGTGTACACGGAGCTGCAATGAGCTGGCATATAGCATGAAACCGGCTGTGTTGCGTGTGATTTCATTGACTTGCGGCTGTAGGCTGTTAAGTGGTGCCTGTGGGTTAGAGAAAGTTTGGCTTTACCGCAAGTATTTTTTTTTTTAAACTTATTTATGACTAAATTTTATATATAGCTTATGTGTGGGATATGGTAACCACATACATATGTACATGCACGTACGTCTCTAGAATATCATTTATATAAGCCACAAACTTTCGCTTGGCATCTTAAATTAAAATTATGTAGTTTTTTATATTTTTTCTTGGCTGAACTAAGGTATCGCCTCTTTGCATTTTTAGGGACGCCTACATTGGATGATACATTTTTTTTAAATGTTCAATAATTTTTGGCGAGCTTTAATTTATTGACATTAGTGTTGTAACTTAGTGACATAAGAAATGAGATCTGATGGATATGCACGATAAGGGGTGGTACTAGAAGTCAAAGAACTTTGGAACGAAAAAAAAACATGCTGCCTTGAGACAAGAACATCGACGAAATCCTAGGGAGAACGTAATACGTTAGAGAGCATCAGTGATACCGATAGACTGAGTATGTTGTTGGTGAAGAACTACTCCGGCCCATCAGTCCTTCGTAGTGCCACCGATATATTCACAGAGATGGAACCTTCAAACAAAAGTATCCGTAGTTGAAAGTTGAATGATCAAAGTCTATGATTTCTAAACGTTCATAATATCTGGGAAATAAATATAGAAAAAAATAAAAAATAAAATAAAAAATGCAATTGCATTGCCTTTTAGTCTTGCAAGCAGATTTTTTGGAAAACGCGGAGTACAAACTCAAAAATGGTACTCTAGGTGTACATAGAAGGGGTGCCCTATTTTACATTGACATTCATATAATGTACCCCATTTCAGAGTCTGCTTTCAGATTCAAAAAGTTGGGAAATTAAGAACTCCTGGACATAGTAGAATAACTAGTCTAGTCCCGTCGAAGATAAGCGAGCAGCACACGACCTGAAAAACTAAATCCTTTAGGATCTTCGGGCGAACACAAAACCACTGTCTACTATCGCGATAATTGTTATTTTTTATATTTAAATAACTTATGGCTGTATAAGATGATAAAAACATTACAATGTAGGCAGGCAGTCTGACGTTTTCAAACAATTAAATAGAAATGCGCAATGATTTTTTTATATAAAAAATATGGTAAAAAAGAATGTTACTCATACGCCACGTACGATATTGGTGCCCTATAGCCCGTCTGGTCGTTTCAGTAATACATACTTTACCTATGTATGACATTCAGAGGCATATGCGATTGATATTAATACGAACCTAACGCATCTGTGAATTTCTATGTTCGTCATCGTTATTACAAAAACTTTCATAAAATTTTTAAAAAAGTATTCACTGTTTATTTGGAAAATGTTTAATTTGAGTCGGCGTTTTTGCCGATATAGCAAATTTGTTGCAGTTCAACAGAGCTCCTTTAATTAGGTAAACTGAACTGCATACAAATTTTGATATCGAAAAAATAACCAATTCATTTGCGAGCTTTTTTTTTCTATATAGTTCGCATCAGAATCGAGTAACCTAGCTTATTGCATACTAATTTTTTTTTAAGTCTTTTTAAATTTAAAATCTTTATGTATTATGTAACTAAATAAACCTTCCATTGAAGCTTACAGCCCCTGATTGTCTCTACAAAAACCTGCTTGTTACCATTAAATGAGAATTTATTTTAATTTGTTAGATTTAAATTTTAGTCAGTTTCTGAAATGTCATTCTTCTCATTCACTTGCCAAGGTGGTTGTGTCCATTGAGGGCTTATGGAATTACATTTAACCATCGCAAGTACATTTGCTTTTGAAATACATACATATGTATTACATGCTTACATATACATACACACATCTATATAACTGCACATAGTACTCGTATGTATATGAAATTGAATTGCATTCATTCACAGTTTGAAGAACTTGTACATTTTATGGGCACTCAAGAGTGCACTTCACATTTGAGTTGCCAGCAAACGTAATCAAATGTACACATTCATACCTACATACATATGTATATAAATGCATATATGCATATGCGTACATACATACATATGTATTTATGCATGTCCACTTTGACTTCTGTGGCATGACATCACCAACAATTTTACAAACCAAAGGCAATGTGGAGACACGATGAAATACATTTGTATGTACATTTGTATGTCTATTTGTGTGTGTGGAAAAGAAATAACTGAATTCATATACATACATACATACATGTGTATACATACATATAAGTTCAGATGTGGGTACATTAGCACTTAAGGAAGTTAGTGGAATTACGTCGTCAAAGTTAAAAATTCTTTTGAAACGGAATTTTTATGTAGAGAATACAGGTGAGATTTTTTGTTCTCTTAATGAAGTAATTCTGCTTTGCCTCTTGGCTTGAAATGGAAATGTAAAAGCGACATTGCAAATTGCTATGGAAAAATATAACGATGAGCATTTTAAGTAGCTGTAGTGTTGTGCAAAGTAAAACGATTAAGAGGAAGATTGAAAAATTGTCATTTTACATGTACATAACAGTGTATTTATGTGCGTCTGTGAGATTGTGTACATGACAGTGTGCATGTATTGTTATGGCAGTTTGAATGAACGGCATAAAATGTAATGAAGATTGCTTATTAATAAGAATGGAAATTTTAAATATAAGCTGGCTTGTAAAGGTGGGTGTTAATTAGTGTTTCGGTTACCGGCTTACCGGCAAATATCTTGGTAGATTCTATGGCCCTTTGTGGAACAGGAGGCTTTCTATGTACACCCAGAATGGAAGTCAGAGTGCCACATTCCGATCGAACGTAAATTAATGAACCCGTCGTCATTGTTTGGAACAGAAATAAATAGTTTAAGAGTCTATTTCGACAAACGAAAAGTGAGCTTTATTGGGTCTCCTGTATAAGTATAGGGGTATACGAAAGCCTCTGAGGCTTGCAAAACAAAACCAGAACTTCAAGTTAGATACCTTAACAAGATGTGCGATGGAACGTACTAAGAGGATACGTAGGAAATTGTGAGTTTTAAATGGCAAAATGCAAGCAAATACTATACTTATTAGTAAAAATTTCCGAGGATTTGCGGGCCTTTATGCGTTGACAAGGGTTAAAGCCACAGGCTATGGAACGATGAACTGTATGAGCTTTACAACGACATGGACATAGTGCAGAGAATTAAAATACAGCGGTTCCGATGACTTGACCATGTAGTTCAAATGGACACCAACGCTCCAGCTCTGAAGTATTCTACTCGGAACGCGCTGGTGGTAGAAAAGGACGAGTGGGCTCCCACTGCGATGGAAAGACCAGGCCGAGAAGGACTTGGCATCACTTCGCATTTCCAATTGGCGTCAGTTGGCACAGAAAAGAAACGACTGGCGGGAGGGCTTTGTTGATCTCTGCCATAATCGCTTAGGTGGTTACAGCGCCAAATAAGAAGAAGAGAAGTTGCCGATAGATTTCGCTCCTAGCGGTTGGAGTGAAGGGAAGTAAGCGTAGAACGAAGCGACTGGCAAGCGAAATTTCTAAGCAACAACTAAGATGAAATGAATTTTTTTTTTTAGTAAAAGACCGCATTTATTTTTTATAAATCCCTCTTTATCTAAAAAAATGTGTGGTCCTCATGGCCTCATATGTAAAATGAATTAATGAAAATTGTTTAGTTTTCTTCTAATAAAACTATTTATTGTACCCATGTCTTATTCATGGCAAATAAACGAGGTTTATTTTTACAGTTTATTGTGTAATAAAACGTTGTTGTTTACTCGGTAACTTTTAAGTAACTTTTTTTTTAAATTCTGGTCAGAAAATTTTTTGTCGTGTGGCAACCGTTTACTTGACGGTAGTACCGGAGGGTAATACGGTACAGGATGTTAGAAGGTTTATTCGGGTTTAAGTTCCACACTGACGGAATGGGACGCACAGGCTGTCGATGCTTCCTTCTCATAAAAAAACAAAACCCATGCGTACGTAAGTTTGTGCTCCAGGCGTTTTTACAGTTATGGCTTTATGCACATATCACACTCTTGTTTGCGTTTATGCACCAGGATATTTCCAAATGCATATGTGAGTGGCATAAAAATACATATGTATGTATGTACGTACGATTTCACATATACCGATTTACATACATACCTACATACACATTTATGTATTTATGCATTTTTCTCAACCAACCAGCCAGCCATGGCAGTTATGTAAGTGTGAAAATCGCCTCAGCTTCGCTGGTGATTGTGTTCTCTGCCTTGAGGCATGCGCCTTCTGCTTTCTGCCAATGCCATGCACATTACTTTTGCATTTATTGCCACTGAATGCCTTTATTATGGATGATAGCAATAAGTATGCCAGTAAGGACAATTTCATACAAACTGATATGTCTGTACAAGAATCGCATGATAAAAATAAACAAGCAGTAAAAATAACAAAAGTCAGCCGGTTATTGCTGCCAACGACTTAACTTAACAATCCTGGTGACGATGCTGATGATGACGTTAAAATATGCCGATAACGAGTGCATTTATGGACGATGCACAACTATGCAGCATCGCCGGGCTTAGTAATACACATACTGTATGTACATATGTATATGCATATGCACTTGTTGATGTTTGCATATAAATATTTATGTATTTAAATACACATGTGTATGTTTATATTTTTACACTTACTTAAATTATGGAATTTCAGGTACATATATACAAACTCTTTATGAAGATAAATTATGAAGAAAAATAAAGCGAATAAGTATTACTTTATTAAGATTTGAAAATCGTCATAGTACTAGTGTTGATAGCCGATCGATGGTGTATATATTGGTTTGTTTCGACAGTGATAGTGCCAAATATTCGATACTATCGAAAGCTTTCTTACATATGTTAAGATATAACACAAATGCCCGGTTTCACCAATCAATTTTAGAATGTATCAAACTTAAAATTTAAAATAGCACAATCTCCTAAAAATGATTGTCATTTTAAATTTTAACGGCCTAACAAATCTAGAACTGATTAGTTCAACTGGTCATAACATTATCTAAATATGCAAATGTGATTAAACTTTTTTATGATCCAAGAAAAATTTGGCAAGTGATATGACACATCCCATCGCCCGTAAATTTCTTCAGTTCTGCTTTTAATATATAAGATAATAGCAGCCAGGAAGAAATCTTATTCATAAATAACCCATTTCGCATGTAACTACCAAAACAAAAATAACATCTTCAAAACAAAATGAGATCGTGTTTTTCAATAACACATTTTATAACAAAAAACCATGAAGAACATGTTTACAATCAAATGAGTTCACACCATACATACATACATATGTAGGCATATGCATCTTTTATAGTCCAATTCCAACAATGTGAACAACATACAACTATCGATAGTGTTTAGAAAAATTCAATAGTGGCGGCAAAATGAAACCATCGATACTATCGATAAAATGGGAACTCTAACTTAGTCTCCTATCGAGGGTAACTCCAAGGAATTTTGCTTTTAGGAGTATTTAAACACTGTTTCTCTCTAAGAGTATCCGAAACAAGCCTTTTGTGGGTTTATACTGAGGTCCTCTTTGGCACAGCGTTTAGATACCTCACGCAGAGCTGGACTCATGACGTTTGTCACAGTACTGCCGATTTTCCCCCGTAATAATAAGTATCGGGTTGTCCGCGAGCCCAATAGCATTGTAATCACCTTCCTTTGGTTTTTTTTAATAGGTCCTCCAACACTAAATAGTGGGATAGCTCCAAAACAATCTCGATATCCAGGAAGGCATATAGAGAGATTTACTAAAAGCGAAGGCCCTTTCGATATTACTAACTGGATACTATAGGGCTTAAACCGAAGATTTCCCTTTGACTACGCTAGCCAGGTATTGTGCAAGTGCATCCTTAATATGTAATCCTGACATCCGAGAGAAAGAACTAAAATCGCCGTTTCACTGTATCTGTCCCATACATAGTTTCTTCTAGTGTTTTGGAATTTTTCGGTAAGTAAGGAAACTTCTAATGGCCTTAAAGATACGTATAAGTATGAAGCTGCCAAAAGTGCTTTTTCATAAGTGCACCAAAAATCGATATCGGGTAATAAACAACAAAATTATTAGGCTAACCCGATTTTTATTTGTTTTTTTTAGCGTGGCTAGGGATATTTTTGCCAAAGCAAGTTTCTAAACTATGTATTTATGTACATATAATTACATTAGGATGCATCACTCTCCGTTAAAATCGGTACTGGTTTTCCATCGGAAATTTATTATATTTTTTAAGACTTCCGCCAAAATTTTGGGGAAAAATAGCGAGATTTACGTCAGTAAGACTTATTTTAAAATATCTCCAAAGTCGAGTTAAAACAGGATTTCACTGCTTTATAAATCAAAAATTTTTACGAAAATAACATTTTATAGAGCTTTTTAAATATATTTTATTAGCCGATTACACAAAAAGGAGAAGTTTATCAATTCGTCTGAATATTTTTTATTTTAATTTTTGTATGTATGTTACTGCATAACTTTGGACCATGTTAACCGATTTCTATAATTATTTTTTTAAAGGAAATGTGTTACCTCACAGGTGATCCCATACACTCTAAACTGGTTTAAATTCGATAATTGGCTCTAGAAGAAAGTAACGGTAATCTTAAATTTTTTTATATACATCTATAATTTTTTATGATGATGCATTTCAAATGTAATCCGTACGAATACCGCCAAATGACCAATTTTACTGAAGGTATTTAAAATAATTTTGCAAATTTGTGTACAGTTTTTCTGCGAATTTCAGTTTTTACAAAGCTTTTTGCGTTGAAAATTGTAATTATCTATTACTTAATTCAGGCGAAAAATACGTGAAATATGCTGAAAAATTTAAGCTGATTTGATGGGAGAATAATACATTGAAAATTTTAAATTGAATTTAGTTAGAGAAAGGGTGTAAATACTAATGCGTACATATCATATGGGCTTGAGTGTAGGCAAAACGACTTACTGAAAGCTTTTCAAAATATTGCTGTTAAATGCATAGAGGTATCTGTTAAAAAATAGACCAAAGATAAGGCATCGAATATGACGCGACTGCACGCTCTTCGCTCCCCAACACCATGCCATGCCATGCAATTCTATTTGCCGAAACCGAATCACGCTCAAACTAAGTGGATTTTGGCTAGCTTGCAAAGCATTTAGGGCGATAGTCTGTGTCAATAAATGCAGCATTGAGTTTGTGTGGTTTAAATATATTTAGCATAGTGTATGTATAGGTATTAATGAATATGTGTGTGAGTTTGTTAAGCTGCATATGCATCATTCTGAAATGCGTGCACGTTTCTCGTCATAAATAAATATTTATGCAAATAAATAAATTTTGCGTGTACGTGTAAGTAAATGTATATACATACATACATATATCAGTCCATACCGTTTTGTTGTTGATGTACCACGTAAGTGTTGCGGCGGGATTTGACCACTCTGAACTGCAGTTAACTGCCAGAAAATCCCCATATCGGTACGGATGCACAATGCCGCTGATGAACGGATCGAATTTGGGTAAAACTGTAAATAAACACAAAAGTAGGAGAAAATGTTAGCACAGAATTCAACAGATGTAGTATGAGTACGAGCATACATAATAGGGTGTTCGATTAAACATCTTTTTTGCAAAACGAATTATTCGAACGAATTATTGGAAAAAACCAAATGCCAAATTTTTTAGTTCAGAGAAAATCGGTTTTATGGCTTTTGATTTTTTGTATAACACTTACAGTTAATTAGAAATAACAGCCAAAATATGGAACAAGTCTCAGAAGTCAGAATTCGTGGAACCGATCATTAAAATTTATTTTTAGTTCAAAAATGGTTGAGCATGTAAAGGGATTCCCAAAATATAACTTGGCAAAAATGTTTATTTTACTAGTTATTCACTATATATTATTATATCTAATTCATCGAATTTGATAAAGTTTTCAGCGCTTTTTCTTATTATGCCGCATCGTTCTGGAGCCATAACAACTCTGGAAAAATTTGGAAATATTTCTCCAATGTTAACATATATCTACATACTATATCTCATATAAAAAATTCGAAACTTTTAATTTTTTTTTTAATTTAAAGACCTTAATTCTCACTTCATCAGTTAATTGTTCAGTTTCAATAAGCTCTTTATTTATGTTAGTAAAAATATGGCAGCCCTGTGCTAAAAGCGGTTGCGAAAGCAGGGCTGTTATACAAGCAAACAGCTGATACACAAAATTGTGGTCTGTTTATATTGATCAGCTGATTAACGTGTAATATCGCTGAGTGTGGTTATTCTGTTTTAATTTTTAATTTAAGGTTAAATGAAAATTAAAAACAAATTAGAATTGATTGGTGAAACCAAAAAATCAAAAATTTATTTAACTTTAATTAATTTTCACTTAAATGAATCTGGTGAAACGCAGCCTTAGTCTACCACCATAAATAATTGTCAGCACTAACAAGCACTTATGGTCCCTGCAGTGAAAGGCAAAATTTAGCAGTAAATATTCGAATAGATTAACTGGTGTAGGCTTAAGTGAAGGCTGACTAGTTTGTTAACTAGTATTAACTGATGCAGATGCTGACCAGTTTGACAATTTCCAAACAAACGATCGATGTCGCGTCTAGTGAAATCTATAGCAGTGTCAAAGAAAAATTAAAAATGGTAACTATATCGATGCCTGTTACGAAAAATATATCGATAAATTTACGGACAATAATATCGATAAACAAGATCGATTATTATATTGATAGAAATATCGATTATTATATTGATTTCTAAAATTTCTAAAATTATGATATTTAATTTAAGTTGCAACTAATATCGAGTATTAAGTAATAAGAAAGATAAGATAAAACCATACTTGTCAATAATTATTAATTATAATTAAGTACATCAGGCTGCAAACTTATCAGTCGCTGTCGTGGAAAAAGGCTAGTTAATGAACTGGTTGAGCTGCAGAGCAAACTGGTAGTGAGCTAGTTCGAAACTATTAGCTTCACCCGTTGGTGGTGACTTTCATCGGCACGCACATAGGACATATCTGCACTTAAGTATCTACACATACAAAATTTTAAGTAGAAATCTATATAAATTTTTATTAAATATAAAATTCATATTCATATCCAATTGCACTTAGTCAATGCATAAAATTCAGAATTTTGTGAATGCAGTTGTTTATACATACATACATACATACATGCTATGCATATGTGTTCGTAAGTGTGAATGTGTGTTTATGGCTTGCAACCTCGTTTGCTCATAAATTAAGTGCATAAAATAAAATTCGATTTGTTTACGTCATAGTGGCTTATGTCAATGCCAAAAGCATGCTCCGGCATTTATAAGCGCAGCTTTTACTAATACTTATGCACTT